GTGTGTGTGTCCCTGCAGCACAAAAGCAGTCTTAAGTCGCTGGGGGATATTTGTAGCAATAGCCAACAATACGTTGTGTGGGTCAAAATGATCCATTTTTCTTTTATGCAAAAAATCATTAGGATATTAAGTAAAGATCGTGTTCCATGAAGATATTTAGTAAATTTCCTACCGTAAATATATCAGAACTTAATGTTTGATTAGTAATATGCATTGCTAAGAACTTCATTTGGACAACTTCAAAGATAATTTTCTCAATATTTAGATTTTTTTGCACCCTCAGATTCCAGATTTTCAAATAGTTGTATCTCAGCCAAATATTGTCCTATCCTAACAAACCATACATCAATGGAAAACTTGTTTATTCAGCTTTCATGTGATGTATAAACCTCAATTTCAAAAAATTGACCCTTATGACATCTCCTAACATCTCCGTGTTTATTACAGAGGTGTGAGGGTTTGTTTTGGACCTCTGGGCGTCGCCGAGATCACATGTGTGCATTGCGTATAGTCATTCGGATTGATAGTATAACCACAGTTTTACTACAAATGCCATGGTGATGCTATGTTATACTGTATTATGACAACACTTTTTTGCAACTAAATTTCAATGTCGTGATAATACTGTATACCGTGATAAAAGCTTTAGCAATTAATCACAACATGAAAATTTGATCCCTACTTGCCAGTGTGTGAGTTTAAGGCTAAGTATAAGTTTAGCACAGATATATTTTCACTCGCCGAACATTCTCTGACTGAGTGCTTCAGAGTTTCTCTCTCCGTCAAGCGATCTGTGCTGGTTTTCAGTTCAGCTGAATGGATGCGCAGCGCACCTGTGTTTGACGTACAGTCGCATACGATTAATCGTGCAGCTGTACACACATCTGTGTGTGTGTAATCATAATTACTCTAGGAGGTGTAAGATGTGTGATGGGTTTTGTAGTTGATGTGGCCTGTAGGATGTTGTACTTTCTGAATACGTGTTTGTTCTTATGATCTTTTATGTGAACAAACTCTAGTAATGCACTAATACAAAATGTGAAGATACCATCATCTCTTCTACTCTAGAAGAAAGGAAGGGAAGTTAATGTTTTTCATTAAAGATTACAAGGGCACATTAATTAAATTATGTGCATGGGTGAAATATTTATTCGAAAAAACTGCCGTTTTTGATGAAAAAAATAATAGTTGCTCATTTTGGTTTCATGCTGGCTTTTTTTTTATTTTGCTTTTATTTCTAGTAATGTTTTTGCACTGATAATTAATGAAAACCGCTTCAAAAGATGTATTCATTCTTTAAGATTTTCAACATTTGTGTAGCTTTAACTTAATGTAATAAAAAAGAAAATTTGTACATGTAGTGAAAGGAAAGTAGATTTTTGGAAAGTAATAGGTGGTCTGGAATGATTTGTATTATCGCAGCTCTTGGTTGCAGTGTAGACGGTCTGTATGTACTGTAAGTGGACAAAACTAAAAAATTTATATTTTTCCAAATTTTGACACTATTCAATATACAGTATATCTAAAAAAAAATGTTGCATTAACTCTCAAAGAATGGAAAAAATGTGAAAGTGTGCCCCCCATGAATAAGACATGATCTTGATAGAGCAGATACTGTTACAGACTCAATTTGAATTGTTAATTACAAAATTAACATTTAAAATAAGAATAATCTAGATATGGTGACAGATAAAGCATAAAGAACATGAAGAATATTTAAAATCATATTTTTAGATAAGGTACCAATGTAAAAAAAAAAAAAAAAATTATAAAAATACGAAAATGATACAAAAAGTGCAGTCTTCCTGCAAAAAGACACATTAAAGAGGGAGTTTACCCAAAAATTTAAATTCTGTCATTAATTACTCAAACCCGTAAGACTTTTGTTCATCTTCGGAACACAAGTTAAAGGGGTCATATGAAGCGATTTCAATTGTTCCTTTCTCTTTGGAGTGTTACAAGCTCTTGGTGCATAAAGAAGATCTGTAAAGTTGCAAAGACTAAAGTCTCAAATCCAAAGAGATATTCTTTATAAAAGTTCAGAGTCAGCCACGCCTACCTAAAACGGCTCGTTCTAACACGCCCCCACATGTCTACCTCACTATGTGGGAAGATTTGCATAACACCGCCCAAATGTTCACGCAAAGAAAGAAGGCGTAACTTTATTGTTGCTGCCGCAATGTCAGGGAGATGCTGTGTGTTTCGTGGTGAAAGCGAAACTACTTCGTTTGGTCTTCCAAAAGAGGACATGACTAGAAATCAGTGGTTCAGTTGTGTTTACAACACTGTTCCAGAACACTTCAACCCAAATATTCAGATGTGTGCAGCACATTTTATGGAGGACTGTTTCCTGATCCTGGGAGAGTACACTACAATGCCAGCAGTTCTGACTCACAGTCTGTAAGTACGTTTTTCTATATTTAAAGGATTTGCCACTGACAATTCAAACGTGAGTTTTGGTTTCAGAAAGGCGGGGCATAGAGGAGAAACAATAATGTACAGTATGTGGAAAATAATGTTTTTTTTTAACCTTAAACCGCATAAACACATTGCATTACACCAAATACACAAAATAATGTTCTTTTTAGCAACATCATATGACCTCTTTAAGATATTTTTGATGAAATCCGAGTTAATGACAGAATTTTCATTTTTGGGTGAACTATCCCTTTAAGATGTAAAAGAAACGTGTTGCAGAGAAGAAGTGGCAGCTCTGTTAGCTTGCATTACCCTCCGAGACTAAATGCACAGTCCTGTTCTGACAAACAGCTTCAGATTTTGTCCAATTCATTGCCATGGTCATCACTGTCAATCATGGCATTTTCAGAATCTGTCCAGCATGTAGAAAATACGGTTGTCAATCCAGAAACTCTAGCAGCATGACAACTAAAAACAGTTTAATTGAAATTGCAAATGGGTTACAAACAGAAGGCATGAGCTCTGCACTCATTATGATCAATGAAGCTGTCTGCACTGCACAATGATGCTCTTATTCAAATCGTGTTTACATTTTGTCAGTCATAATGAAAGGATTTGCGATTGTGTAGAACAGTCAATACTAATGTACTCACCTGAGCTAGAGAGATTCGTTCAGCTGTTTAAACAATTAATGAAAAAAACATTACTTTTATTGAATGATACTGATGACTGGCAGATACATTCATGAAAATATAATGGCTTTCTCCACCTCAGAAATGATGTTCCTTTTCAGCTCATGTCAGCCAGTCTAGAAGTAGTGTAGGCAGGGCCTAAAATTAACACTCGCCAAGCGCCAAATGAGAGTAAAAATCAGCGTTGGTGAGTCCATGTAAGAGTGTCGGTCGCCAGTTGGCAGGTACAACGTTTACGAATTATAGCAATGCAATGAAGTGAAAACAACTGCCAGTTTTTAAAAGAGATTCGCTGTTGCTGTCATAAGCGACAAGAGTGAATGAGAGTGAATGTCAATTATACTGTAATGTTGAATGGCTAAAATTAATAGGTAAAATTGAGAGAAAATGCACCAGCAGGGCAAATTAAAAACGTTGTAAATGTTTTATTGTAGTAGTAATAACTGCCTGTTTTTGCAAAGAGTTTCATGGCCCGTAAATTTGATCATGTCACCGGCCATTGGCAGGTGTGGCAAAAAGCTAGTTTTAGGCCCTGAGTGTAGGTGATAGTTAACACAGTTAGGGTTGACCAGCTGGCATGAAATAATCTTTTCTTCTCTATTGTGACACATCCAAATGAAACTGCTACTCAAATGAGACGCCAGTTTTCTGTGGGACTTGATGTTGTCCATTGGGAATAGATTGTTGTGATCTCGTGTGAGGCAGGCTGCTGGAGCGATTATAGTCAAGTTATTGTGGATTATTGTCATGTTATAGAGATCTTGTTGTCTAATTCTCTCAGAAATGTGTCTCTATTGACCATTGAAGACATGTATGGCTCATTTGTGTGTGGCATGAGATATGGTGAGGTATGATATGAATTCTTCACCCTTCCTGCGTCTCCTTCACCTCCTCTCAGGTACATCGATAAGTCTGCTGAGGAGCTGGATGAGGAGGTGGAGTACGATATAGACGAGGAAGACTACATCTGGCTGGACATCATGAATGACAAGCGGCGCGCTGACGGGGTGGTGCCCATCCCTCAGGAGGTCTTTGAGTACCTGATGGATCGCCTGGAGAAGGAGTCCTACTTTGAGAGTCACAACAAGGTGAGCGAAGATGATTATTTTACTTTTTGAAACATCATGCTGGGGCGATATGACCACTTTTGGTCTTGATAATGTTATATGTCATTTTTTATTTTGCTTGAAATAAGGTGGATGTGAAACCACAATTTTAAATGCACTTGAAATTTAACAATACTGAATAGGGCTGAACGATTTTGGAAAATAATCTAATTGCGATTTTTTTTTTTTTTACTAATATTGCGATTGCGATTTAATATGCAATTCTTTTTTTAAAGCTCTTTATGTTCTGTATTATTCAACAGACAAGCTATAAATCATTGTATAGTATGACCAACACACTATTAGATAGATTAAACATAAATGTTCTTTTCTGTAGGCCAGGCCTATATGTTACGATGAAATTAGGTGATGCATGAATTGATATGAATGACATTTTTATTTAACAACTACAATCACAGTATATTGACTGATTTGTTGAACTTCCAACCTTGTAAGCATGTAATAATTGTTTAAATAAGCCTGGTGTAAATATTAATATGAAAGTCAGTAACAAATCACACAAACTAAAGTAGATTGCAGAAATATAAAAACAAATCTGTTGCTTTAGCACACTACTTTAGGTCATTCACAGTCACTGTAATAAACATATGTAATCATGTGCACTGCACTTTTTAAACACTGTCTGTTAACTTTAGACCAGTGCTTCTCAGACTACCAAATTATTTCACTAAACATTATGAAAAATTTTAGCTTTTGAATGACCAGCACCTGCCTGGGTCTGTGCGACTTCATCTATGGCTTTTCTCTTCGCTTTCACAAACCGATCCATCTCCCATTCTGAGTTACGTCCTTTGTCTGTTTACTGATTTATTTCTTTTCTTTTTCTGCTGATGGCCCGTGCTCGACTTGAAGCAGCGCTGCTTAGACCGATGGGTGTGTGTCATCAAAGTACTGCGAGAGCTATAAGAGAGCGCGGACGTCTCCTTATGCTTTCTCTCGCTCGCCGTACTTTGATGTCATACACCGATCGATCTTCAAGTCGAACACACCTCTTCACTCTCATGTGTCACGTGACCGAGTGTAATCGCAGCCTCTGCGATTGAAAAATCGCATTATTTCATATCGCGATATTATCGCAAATGCAATTAATCGTTCAGCCCTAATACTGATTCACAATCATGCTTATATTTGAGTTAGAAAAGTTATTCAGTCAAGAGCAGTGAATGAATCTTTTTTTATGTTTGATTAACATAAAACTGTTCACAATCACTTAGTTGAGTCAGTTTACACCAAAATGAAAATTCTGCCATTATTTACTCATTCTAAATGATTTAATTTGACTTCATAACACAAATACACCACAAGATATTTTTTACTGAAACCTGAGAGATTTCCTCCATTGAAAATCCATGTAACCAAAAATTTGATGCTTGTAGAAAGTTAATAAAGACATTGTAAATAAGTGGTTTAACCCGAGTTTTCTGACACAATTGCTTTATAATATGAACAGATTTAATTTAGGATTTTATTCATTTATAAGCATTGATCAATGCGCAAACTGCAGCTCAGATGTGCTTGCTTGACACACAAGAACCAATGAGGCTTGTATATACAGTATATGTGATGTGCTCAATATAGGTTTATATGTGAATAACCATTTAAATCTGTTCATCATATAACGTGAAAAGTCTTGGATTAAAGCACTTGATTCATATGGATCATGAACTTTCTGAAGTGTCACGTTACATGGACGTTCAATGCAATTTTGGAGTGAACTATCCCTTTAAAGGGGTCATGACGTGAGAAATCAAATTAGCCTTGATCTTTTGCCATATAAGGGGTCTTTGTAGCATTAAAACAACCTTTCATAGCTTAAAACCTCCTCCTCATTATAAACAGAGAATTTATTTAATCAAGCTCCAAAAACAGCTCGTTTTGGATCCGAGGTGCAAGATGACATCACAGGGGCACAGACATTTGCATAAACTCCACCTCCAGAGCAAGACATCGACATAGGCCCCGCCCACCGACCCTTAGAAACAGCCTGTTTCAGAGAATGAGGGTTGAAAATAATTTTTCCACATTTTTTGTTTTTGTGCAAAAGACTTTATTAACATTATAAGTAAACCTCAAGGAACATATTAAGATAATAAAAAAAAATCCATGTCATGACCCCTTTAAGACATAACCTACTGCATTTACATGAATACTTGCCAAAATGGGCATTTTAACACAATTCTGTGTGTATCTGACCATGCAAGTGCAATAAGACGTGAGTGACAAAGAGCTCAATTCATCATTTACACTGTGACAGATTGTTTCATGTGTTCCAGAATGTATACACGTTGTCACATTTGTACCGGTATATCGCCCACCCTAACCCTAAATCATGCATTTATTGAACTTGAAAAAACTTACCTGGCTGGGAGTGAGTTTGTGCTTTTAGGGAGGAGTGAAAGCCACGCTGGATTTATAACACAAGACAAAACGAGTGAAATGGAATGTGGCACAACAATAGTTTTTTCTCAATTATCTTGTGTTCATAATCGTTGGAAGTCAAAATCATAATTGAAACAAAAATTTGATTAATGCAGCTGCAAGATTAATTTTTAACAAGCTGAAAAGAATGCACGTCACACCTCTGTTTATCAGTTTGCACTGGCTACCAATAGCTGCTCGCATAAAATTCAAGGCATTAATGTTTGCCTACAAAACCACCACTGGCTCTGCACCCCTTTACCTAAATTCATTACTTCAGACTTATGTGCCTCTAGAAGCTTGCGTTCTGCAAGTGAACGTCGCTTTATTGTTCATCCCAAAGAGGCACAAAATCACTTTCACAGACTTTTACATTAACTGTTCCCTCCTGGTGGAATGACCTGCCCAACTCAATCCCAGCAGCTGAGTCCTTAACCATCTTCAAGAATCGACTAAAAACACATCTGTTCCATCTTTATTTGACCCTCTAACTCTAGCACTCTCTATTCTAATTCTATTTTATCTATTGGTTTTCTTTTTTTATAAAAAAAAAAAACCTTGACCCTTTAAGACTTGCGCTCTATTTGTCCTCATTTGTAAGTCGCTTTGGATAAAAGCATCTGCTGAATGTCTAAATGTAAATGATTAAGTCCTAGATGACGTCACTTGACATTTGGATGGTCTCATGGATTGACACACTCGCGCACACAGACACACACACACACACACACACACACTCTCGCGCTCTCTCTCTCACTCACTCACACTCACTCACACACACACACTCTCTCTCTCTCTTATACACACACACACACTCTCTCTCTTTCCCTCTCTTATACACACACTCTCTCTCTCTTATACACACACACACTCTCTCACACACACTCTCTCTCTCTCTTTCTCTCTCTCTCACACACACACACACACACACACACACACACAC